GATTATTTCATTCATTCAGATCTAGGATGGGTTATTTTAGTGTTCCCTTTATTTTTTTTAGCAGTGTATTTAAGGCTTCCACTTGTCCAGCCAATTCAATTAACGAAATATATAGACACAGATTCAGTGAAACAATCACATTGATTGATTATCAGACAAGTCACAGGCTTTTGATCGGGAGTAGGACAGGCTACTATGCGAGTGAAGAGCAAACAGACTTGTATAACATGTTAGCAAAATGTTTTGATCAGCTAATATATACTACATGTCCAAAAGTATGTGGAAACCTGCTCGTCGAACATCTCATTCCAAAATCATTAATATTGTGTTGGTCCACCCTTTGCTGCTATAACAGCCTCCACTCTTCTGGGAAGGCTTTCCACTAGATGTTCGAACATTGCTGCGGGGACTTGCCTCCATTCAGCCACAAGAGCATTAGTGAGGTTGGGCACTGATGTTGGGCGATTAGGCCTGGTTCCTAGACGGCATTTAAATTCAGCTCAAAGGTGTTCGATGGGGTTGAGGTCAGGCCTATGTGCAGGCCAGTCAAGTTCTTCCACACCAATCTCGAAAAACAATTTCTGTATGGACCTCGCTTTGGGCACAGTGGCATTGTCATGCTGAAACAGGAAAGGGCCTTCCCCAAACTGTTGCCACAAAGTTGGAAGCACAGAATCGTCTAGAATGTCATTGTATGCTGTAGAGTTAAGATTTCCCTTTACTGGAACTAATGGACCTAGCCCAAACTATGAAAAACAGCCCCAGACCATTATTCCTCCTCCACCAAACTTTACAGTTGGCACTATGCATTGGGGCAGGTAGCGTTCTCCTGGCATCCACCAAACCCAGATTAGTCCGTCGGACTGCCAGATGGTGACGCGTGATTCATCACTACAGAGAACGCATTTCCACTGCTCCAGAGTCCAACGGCGGCGAGCTTTATACCACTCCAGCCAACGCTTGGCATTGCGCATGGTGATCTTAGGCTTGTGTGCGGCTGCTTGGCCATGGAAACCCATTTCATGAAGCTCCCAAACGAACAGTTCTTGTGCTGATGTTGCTTCCAGAGGCAGTTTGGAACTCGGTAGTGAGTATTGCAACCGAGGACAGACGATCTTTACGTGCTACAGCACTCGGCAGTCCCGTTCTGTGAGCTTGTCGCGGCTGAGCCGTTGTTGCTCCTAGACGTTTCCACTTCACAATAACAGCATTTACAGTTAACCGAGGCAGCTCTAGCTGGGCAGAGATTTGACGATCTGACTTGTTGGAAAGGTGGCATCCTATGATGGTGCCACATTGAAAGTCACTGAGCTCTTCAGTACAGGCCATTGTACTGCCAATGTTTGTCTATGGAGATTGCGTGGCTATGTGCTCAATTTTATACACCTGTTAGAAACGGGTGTGTGGCTGAAATAGCTGAATCCCCTAATTTGAATGGGTGTCCACATACGTTTGCCCATGTAGTGTATGAGTAAACTAGAATAAAGATCATTAGCACTCACCTCAATTTAGCTAACATTTCCCCAGCCTAATTGTTACCAAATATCCAAACGACGATCCAGTGAAAACAAAAATCTGGCATTGATGGATTTATCTAGAAGAGTCCACCATGCTTGTCTCAAGGCAGCGCAATGGCACTGTCCCAGAAATTATAACCTAGGTGACCACACAAGACTATTGCTTTAAATTAGTATAACGGTTGGATAGCCTATGACATTGGGAGTTTCAGTATAAGCAAGAATTTGATACATGTAACAACAAATAATAACAAAGATAGCTAATAATGTAAGCATACTGTGTCCATAATAAGTATATAGGTTGTATGTTGGGAGCTTTTGGGAAAGAGCACAGTTAGAAAGATATGGCATTTAGAAGCAAACCGGATGGACATCATGAAAATGATCGGAGAGGTTGAGAGTAGAAGAAGTTCAGGAGCAAAAAAATAAATATATATATATATATATATATATATATATATATATATATATATACAGTGGGGAAAAAAAGTATTTAGTCAGCCACCAATTGTGCAAGTTCTCCCACTTAAAAAGATGAGAGAGGACTGTAATTTTCATCATAGGTACACGTCAACTATGACAGACAAAATGAGAAAAAAAATTCCAGAAAATCACATTGTAGGATTTTTAATGAATTTATTGGCATATGATGGTGGAAAATAAGTATTTGGTCAATAACAAAAGTTTCTCAATACTTTGTTATATACCCTTTGTTGGCAATGACACAGGTCAAACGTTTTCTGTAAGTCTTCACAAGGTTTTCACACACTGTTGCGCTGGTATTTTGGCCCATTCCTCCATGCAGATCTCCTCTAGAGCAGTGATGTTTTGGGGCTGTCGCTGGGCAACACATACTTTCAACTCCCTCCAAAGATTTTCTATGTGGTTGAGATCTGGAGACTGGCTAGGCCACTCCAGGACCTTGAAATGCTTCTTACGAAGCCACTCCTTCGTTGCCCGGGCGGTGTGTTTGGGATCATTGTCATGCTGAAAGACCCAGCCACGTTTCATCTTCAATGCCCTTGCTGATGGAAGGAGGGTTTCACTCAAAATCTCACGATACATGGCCCCATTCATTCTTTCCTTTACACGGATCAGTCGTCCTGGTCCCTTTGCAGAAAAACAGCCCCAAAGCATGATGTTTCCAACCCCATGCTTCACAGTAGGTATGGTGTTCTTTGGATGCAACTCAGCATTCTTTGTCCTCCAAACATGACGAGTTGAGTTTTTACCAAAAAGTTATATTTTGGTTTCATCTGACCATATGACATTCTCCCAATCCTCTTCTGGATCATCCAAATGGACTTCAGACGGGCCTGGACATGTACTGGCTTAAGCAGGGGGACACGTCTCGCACTGCAGGATTTGAGTCCCTGGCGGCGTAGTGTGTTACTGATGGTTGGCTTTGTTACTTTGGTCCCAGCTCTCTGCAGGTCATTCACTAGGTCCCCCCGTGTGGTTCTGGGATTTTTGCTCACCCTTCTTGTGATCATTTTGACCCCACGGGGTGAGATCTTTCGTGGAGCCCCAGATCGAGGGAGATTATCAGTGGTGTTGTATGTCTTCCATTTCCTAATAATTGCTCCCACAGTTGATTTCTTCAAACCAAGCTGCTTACCTATTGCAGATTCAGTCTTCCCAGCCTGGTGCAGGTCTACAATTTTGTTTTTGGTGTCCTTTGACAGCTCTTTGGTCTTGGCCATTGTGAAGTTTGGAGTGTGACTGTTTGAGGTTGTGGACAGGTGTATTTTATCTGATAACAAGTTCAAACAGGTGCCATTAATACAGGTAACGAGTGGACGACAGAGGAGCCTCTGAAAGAAGAAGTTACAGGTCTGTGAGAGCCAGAAATCTTGCTTGTTTGTAGGTGACCAAATACTTATTTTCCACCATAATTTGCAAATAAATTTATTAAAAATCCTACAATGGGATTTTCTGGATTTTTTTTCCTCAATTTGTCTGTCATAGTTGACATGTACCTATGATGAAAATTACAGGCCTCTCTCATCTTTTTAAGTGGGAGAACTTGCACAATTGGTGGCTGACTAAATACTTATTTGCCCCACTGTATATATATATATATATATATATATAGATATAGAATTGTTGTAAAATTAACTCTGTCCATAAGGTGTAGATAGTAAGTATAGACCGGAAGTAGAGGCCTGGGCGTTGTTGTTCACTAATTTACTCCAAGTAGGGAAAGGATGGTGGGGTTGAAAAGTAATAAAGGGGAATATATATATATAAAAAATAAAAAAAAACATGGGGGATTGGAAGTGATGCAGACAATTACATTGATAGAAGATACAATCTATCTGCAATATTAAGCTGATCCATCCCCCCCCCAAAAAAAAAAAAAATTAAAAAAAATTAAAAAAAAAAAAAAACAACATTGAAATAAAAATTATATATATATAAAACAAAATTAAAATAAAAAGATTTTCATACATGCCTTCAATTGCATTAGCTACTTTATTCCAATATTTTTATAATTTAGTTGATCATAACTAAGTTTACCTCTCGCCTCTCTTGCCTGCCTCCGCCACATTGTTCTCAACACCAGTTTAAATCAATATAGACTACAGTTTTCTAGAAATCTGGACTTTTATTGGATTCGGGCTCATTCAATTTATGTTATGTCGGACCAGGCCCGGGCTTGGGTTGGATCGGGATAGAACTTTCAGTTCTGATGAGAACTCTAAACTGCATTCAGGTCTCGTGTGAAGTCCGGTCTTGTCATTACATTTTCTGGGAAACGTGAAGAGTGGTCCCGGGACAGTCCCAGTTACAAGCGTACCGGTTACCACTTCACACCAGCAACTTGAATTACAACATAGGCTATAAAACGTTGAACTCCTGGACTGATTTCTGGTTCAGATCAGAAGCCTCCTCCTGAATATCTCGACGAGGTTGTGTTGTGTGATTGCATATGATATGTAGGTAACGTTTCCCTATACATTTCTAGTTATACCAAATCAGTGATTAAGCATCTATAATATTGCCCTCCAGTACAATGGCCCTAACTTCAGTACCTATACAAGGCTTTGTAAAACCAAGGAGAGTTATCCCTAGTCTGTGAAAACAATTTTAAAACCAACAAGGACTTGTTGTCAGATTTTATGCCATATGATGTTTGCCTATAATAATTTGCTAAACCTTTATGTAGGACTATAAAGGCGTTATGAAGCCCTTCATTAGGCCTAAAAGTTATAGCCTCATTTCATTAAAGTATGACTGTGAATCCTCTCACATAATAAATGTTTTAACTGTGCAATAAAGTGAGATTGGGCGTTATCTCAGCCTGCGGTTTGAAAACCATTTCACTATACAGAAAGTGTGAGGTTATTCCCCAATAAAACACTGTTTAGTAAGCTGAAAATGTATTCTGAAAAATCCATCTTTGGCCAGACTAACTCTGCAGCACACATATGACCCTGATAACTAGTAACTACCATAGTGCACCTAACCAATTAGTGACCTGGAATTACTAAGGTGGACACACAGATGACAGGAGGAGAACCTTTAAATACAGCTTCTGTTCATTTCACATCAACTGTCACCATATGTTTTGGGTCAAGTGCAGAATGTTTTGCAGATAGTAGTAGTCAGATTTGCTAAATAATCACAGGTTTTGAACTTTTTGTTTGAGTACATGTTGGATCAAGTAACACATTTGTGTGAACACTGTCTACATAAACTAACTTTTTACAATATGACACTTGCATGCTCACTGCTCAATTTATTGAACAGATTGTGTTACAATTTAGATTTGGTGAACAGGTAGAATAAAACTAACTAACTATTCCTTGGGCCCCATGTGATGTTACATATTCAATCCTGGTTCATTATTAAAAATATACACTGACAAATAAACAAGGCTATGCAATTTATAACATATTAGGTATTCAGACATAAGTTGTACATTACGAAAAAGTACTATAGATTTCATCCTCCCACACTGACCCTGTGTACTGAGATAAAATGTTCATATCCCGAGGTTACGATGAAGCGCAAGTGTGTTGCAGTCGTTCCAACTAGCTGTAAAGAGAGAAAAACAAGGTTGTTGTAATCACCCAAAGCCATGTATGTATGCCATTTAGCAGACACTTTGTAGTACCATTATACACATTAGATTAGAATAGTTAGTCAACTCACTGGAATATTATTTGTTTGAAGATGCCCCTCTATGTGTTCAAATTCTGAAAGAAGATATAATGAAGATTACAACACTGCTGTGTAACATGACAGACTTAATTAGCTTTGAGGCACTGTGTATTCAGTGGCTTTGCTTACCCTTTTCTGAAATAGGCTCAAAGTCAGTAGCATCGTCTGAGATGCTCTTCTCAATTTTAAGAGTCTTAACTGAAAGACAACAAAAACTAAATAACATATACATTTCAAGCAACATTTTTTAATGTTTTATTTTATTTCACCTTTATTTAACCAAGTAAGCCAGTTGAGAACAAGTTCTCATTTACAACTGCGACCTGGCCAAGATAAAGCAAAGCAGTGCGATAAAAACAACAACAACACAGAGTTACACATGGGATAAACAAAACATACAGTCAATAACACAATAGAAAAACATGATCAAACTATAGTAGGCACACACCAATACATAGACCTTGCCAAGTACCTCAACTCCTCCACGGGGTTGAGCACAGACAAGTTTTTTTTAATGAAATACTGACTCGCTATGGGTCAATACTTAAAACATATGTTTGTCCTCTGTTGTTGTGTGCCTTTCTTAAATGCTGAAATACAAATGTTTTGTATAAAACGTTAATCAAATACAACCATCGACTATTCCCTAATTGCTGTTGCTCTAAGATTGCAACTCAGCGTGAATGCACATGTGGCAATTGAATCTCAACAGGGAAACAGTCAGCGGTTGTAGTTGATTCACGTTTTATTAAAAAGTATGGGTTTCAGCAAACAAAAAAAGGCACGCAACAACAGAGGACAAACATAGGTACACGGAAGGTTTAAGAATGTCCTATTTTTGTATAGACGCATAGCGAGTCGGAGTCCATATCAAAAACTAGGCTGCGCGGTACTTGGCAAACGTAGGCCTAGACAATGTGCCATCAAGGACCTTATTTCATACCATTATAACAGTGCATTGTCACATGGGCAATTTTCATAGATTCAGCGAAGCGGATGATGAACTCTTGTGGAAACATTCCAGTGGACATCCAAAATGTTGCAGTGTTACTGAGAAGAGACAGAGAGACTCATCAAGATATGGACTGTGGTGAGGTAATGAATGGTGTGGCATGATGCTGACTGTGAATGGCTGACTGGTGGTGTAACATGTCATGCATGTTGGCGTATGTTTAGTAATGTTGTTGTCGTGTAAATTTGCAGATTAACTGTGGAGATGTTAACTACCGCCACATAGCTGGCTAGTTCTTTTAAAGCTACAATAGCTAGTAGCTTTTTATCTTGATAATCTCCGACTAACTAGCTAACCTTACTCTCTTTGGCTAACAGGAAGTTTAGGTTAGCTTAGCAAGCTAACGTTAGCTAGCTAGCAACAAATCAGAGGTTTCTCTTTTGAATAAACTCTTCTTACCCGTCAATAATGTTTTTTGGAGGATGATTCTCATCGTTGGACGCAGCCAAGACAACCTGAGCACCCAAAGAACTTAACGCGGGATCTATCATATTTTTAGCCGACAAATCACGATTTACAAGCAAATGTAAACAAACTTGTTTGTGGACTGAGGGATGTGAGTTCGTTGCCAAGCCAACGTGCTAACAATTTTGTCGCAGCTTTTTTACGTAATCATTATTTAAGAACGTCAGCGACGCACGTTTATTTTCTTCAGTAAAAACCCAAATATCAAAGCTGTGAGAGCAGCCACATTTCTGCGTATTCATGGCAAATGGGTGTAAAGATATGCTTTTTACTCGTGGAGCTGGACAAGTAAGTTATCATTTATATAGTTACTCAGTAAGTAGATAAGTGCGTAGATTGGCTTGCTAGCTAGTAGCTAATGTTGAATTTAAGCTAACGGTAGCTGATTCGCTAGATACCAACTAGCTAACGTTACCTAGCTACTGGATATAGCACCAGAGTTTTAGTGTTAGCAGCACAGATGTAGGGTTAATTTTCATAATCTTTGGTGTTAGTGGTAACAAGGCAGATTGCCAGTTGATATGCCAGCATCAGTCACTCGACAATTCCCAATTTAGTTTATATTAGCTAGCGGGATCTAGGAAGGTCACATAGCATTGGATAAAAATGATCAGCTGGCCATGTTTTACTAGCTAGCTAACAAACGTTAGTTAGATAGTATTACATGCTAGTTAGCTTGGCCATCTAGTTATGACACATTTATTATGCAGCTATGAATAAAGAGCAGTGCATCACGACAAGCTAGATGGAATCTTGGCAAGCAAGTAGAAAGCATAATGTAAGGGATGGATCGAAATGTACAGAATGGTTACCTGGAGGAAAATGGGGGAGGGTCCTGCTTTTTCAATTTCAGTCAAGGGGAGGGTTTAGTATTTTCTTTAAATATAATCCAGGGGAGGGTCATGTAATTTATAATTGATGACATTTCTATATTTTTTAGTGTTTTAGAATGAGTTGCTTATTAGGCTATATACAGTGGGGGGGGGGGGGGGGGAAGTATTTAGTCAGCCACCAATTGTGCAAGTTCTCCTACTTAAAAGATGAGAGAGGCCTGTAATTTTCATCATAGGTACACGTCAACTATGACAGACAAAATGAGGGGAAAAAATCCAGAAAATCACATTGTAGGATTTTTAATGAATTTATTTGCAAATTATGGTGGAAAATAATTATTTGGTCAATAACAAAAGTTTCTCAAGTTTCTTTGTTATATACCCTTTGTTGGCAATGACACAGGTCAAACGTTTTCTGTAAGTCTTCACAAGGTTTTCACACACTGTTGCTGGTATTTTGGCCCATTCCTCCATGCAGATCTCCTCTAGAGCAGTGATGTTTTGGGGCTGTCGCTGGGCAACACGGACTTTCAACTCCCTCCAAAGATTTTCTATGGGGTTGAGATCTGGAGACTGGCTAGGCCACTCCAGGACCTTGAAATGCTTCTTACGAAGCCATTCCTTCGTTGCCCGGGCGGTGTGTTTGGGATCATTGTCATGCTGAAAGACCCAGCCACGTTTCATCTTCAATGCCCTTGCTGATGGAAGGAGGTTTTCACTCAAAATCTCACAATACATGGCCCCATTCATTCTTTCCTTTACACGGATCAGTCGTCCTGGTCCCTTTGCAGAAAAACAGCCCCAAAGCATGATGTTTCCACCCCCATGCTTCACAGTAGGTATGGTGTTCTTTGGATGCAACTCAGCATTCTTTGTCCTCCAAACACGACGAGTTGAGTTTTTACCAAAAAGTTCTATTTTGGTTTCATCTGACCGTATGACATTCTCCCAATCCTCTTCTGGATCATCCAAATGCACTCTAGCAAACTTCAGACGGGCCTGGACATGTACTGGCTTAAGCAGGGGGACACGTCTGGCACTGCAGGATTTGAGTCCCTGGCGGCGTAGTGTGTTACTGATGGTAGGCTTTGTTACTTTGGTCCCAGCTCTCTGCAGGTCATTCACTAGGTCCCCCCGTGTGGTTCTGGTATTTTTGCTCACCGTTCTTGTGATCATTTTGACCCCACGGGGTGAGATCTTGCGTGGAGCCCCAGATCGAGGGAGATTATCAGTGGTCTTGTATGTCTTCCATTTCCTAATAATTGCTCCCACAGTTGATTTCTTCAAACCAAGCTGCTTACCTATTGCAGATTCAGTCTTCCCAGCCTGGTGCAGGTCTACAATTTTGTTTCTGGTGTCCTTTGACAGCTCTTTGGTCTTGGCCATAGTGGAGTTTGGAGTGTGACTGTTTGAGGTTGTGGACTGGTGTCTTTTATACTGATAACAAGTTCAAACAGGTGCCATTAATACAGGTGACGAGTGGAGGACAGAGGAGCCTCTTAAAGAAGAAGTTACCGGTCTGTGAGAGCCAGAAATCTTGCTTGTTTGTAGGTGACCAAATAATTATTTCCCACCATAATTTGCAAATAAATTCATTAAAAATCCTACAATGTGATTTTCTGGATTTTTTTCCCTCATTTTGTCTGTCATAGTTGACGTGTACCTATGATGAAAATTACAGGCCTCTCTCATCTTTTTAAGTGGGAGAACTTGCACAATTGGTGGCTGACTAAATACTTTTTTTCCCCACTGTACATATATTTGTCGGTCAATTCCTCCACCCACCATGCACTCTTTAAATAGCCTACCTCCATGTCAGTGAAGGGTTGTTAAGTTAAAACCAAGACTCGAAATGAGAGGGGATGCCATAGGCCTACCTTTTTATTAAAGAAAATGGTAAAAACTACTACCCTTGTTAGCTTAAGATTTTGAAGAAAATAAAACTGATCCGATTTTATAAAGTGATCTATAACAGTGCTTCAGTCTGTGATGCTTTATGCTAGAAACAAGCTGTAAAATACCCTGGCTGGCTGGCAACCTGGTCTCAGAGCATTTCGTAATATTCTGTACGTAAATCCTAGGCACTCCATTTAGTATGATATCTTCCGTTTCGTATGGTATGTATTAATTTGTGGATGTCTATCATCCATTTCGTATGATATGTAACAAATATGTTAAGAATTTGCTAAATGTATGATATGTTACGAATTCCAATTTGTTGTGACTAACGCTATCGTTAGCTAGCTGACTAATGTTAGCTACGCTAGGTGTTAAGGTTAGGGGAAGGGTTGGCTAACATGCTAAGTAGTTGCAAAGTAGCTAAAAAGTAGTTGAAAAGTTGCTAAAGTTGTCTGTGATGATATTCGAGCATGCAACCTTTGGGTTGCTGGGCCAGCAGCATACCACCCTGTATCCCATTGCTGGCTTTCCTCTGAAGCTAAGCAGGGTTGGTCCTAGTCGGTCCCTGGATGGGAGACCAGATGCTACTGAGAGTGGTGTTGGGGGGCCAGTAGGAGGCACTCTTTCCTCTGGTCTAAAAAAATATCCCAATGCTGATTGGGAACAATTGCCCTGTGTAGGGTGCCGTCTTTCGGATGGGAGGTTAAACGGTTGCCCTGACTCTCTGTGGTCACTAAAGATCCCAGGCTAAATTCCCAATCTGGTCCTCATACCATCACGGCCATCTAATTATCCCTACATTCCAATTGGCTCATTCATCCCCCTTCCTCTCCACTGTAACTATTCCCCAGGTCATTGCTGTAAATGAGAATGTGTTCTCAGTCAACTTAACTGGTAAAATAAGGGATAAATAAATAAAATACTGTATGACCAACCACCCTCCTTTTGTTTTTGTGCATCTCTGAGTGATGTTCTTTCGATTCCCTGTGTCATTTCATGTTTATCTGAGTTATTGCCGTTCAAGCATGCAGAAATCCGTCCGGTATGACGTAGAACCGTGATAAAGTCGCTCTCACTACACTAGAAGTTAATAGGAATATGACTTTTAGATCGCAAAAAATGTCTTATCATACATGTCAGATTTCAATACCGGCCGATGTCATAACTCGGGAGGATGTCTTCTCTCGAATGAGCCATTGATAATATTTTTGCGATAGTCCTACCTCGAGAAATTTGTAATTTAATGGAGGGTCTTGCACATTTTTCCTATTTGTCTGCCGCTTTAGTCCAGTGTGCATTGCATGGTGCCGTTGCCAGAGATATTATAGAAAGGAGATAGTAATCCAATGAATGACGGAACGAAGAACGCCTCACCCAGCAGACTGTCGACCAATCGCGTTCACTTTGTCATGCAATCGTCACGCAATCCCTTCTCAAAGTCAGTGTATATGTTGATAAACGTGCCTATTTTCTTCGAAAGCACGTCATTTCACGATTCCAAAGCTATACGATACTACAGATAGCGTGTTAATTATCTCACATCACTGATAAGATTTGTACTTCTTGTTGACGAAATTTGTGCTAATGTTGGGTTTTGAGCTAGCACCCAATAGACTCCCATTCACTCATTGTAGGAGAGCGCTCCTTGTCCCAGAATCGCCCAGAATGCACCGCGTTGACGTAGCATGGGCAATGTTTCCCATCTCCTCAAAATATATCTGCTGTTGCGAAAGTTAGACTCCACTCTGAGGCACATCGATCTGCAGGTTGAACATGGTGAGATTGTAGACTCCTAAATTGATAGTGCAGTTTGTTTAGGCGATTTTACAGCTAACTAGCTACGTTACATGCCCATAGAGAGAGCATTGCATTGTGGATTTTGTAGTCGACTTGAGCTGCAACAGATTTCCACAACGATTTTCTATGTTGCTACCAACCATATTATAATGCCAAAATGAAACATTTGTTCACAAAAAATATTGTTCTCACTTATTAGTGTTATTTAACACTCTAAATTAAAGGAATGAGTGGGTGGATTTTGGGTGGATTTTTCCTTGAGGAACCTTCTAATGTATGTAACCATACCAACCGTAAAATATCATGCTAATTTGAGTATCCCGGATTTACATTTACTGTGTTACATCTAGTCTATGAGACCAGGCTGGGAAAGACGTGACTCTGATGCATATGGGAATACCATTGTTTCGTTTCTTTGACATTCAGAGGCTGAAATACAACCTTTTATAGCCGAGGAGAGATAAAATAGGCTTTGCTTGGGAAGTCATCTTATTCTGTCACTATCAATTGATTATAGACCGCTTTTAGGGAAACATTTGAGACCTTCTCTCGTTTGGTTAAGCCACGGAAAAGGAGTAACCAGCAGTTAAAGCTTACATTTCTCTGTGTCGGTATGCTTACTCTGGCATGGTAGGCCTAACTTTTGAAAGTACCATACACAGATTCTTAATGACGTCTCAGATTTAATTATTTGCAAACAGGGACAGTTTAGTTGCAAACAAGATGCTGATTTGGCATTGGAGAAATATAAGATGAACACGCAAGCCTATCTCTCTGTCTATTCTTAGCCTGTAATTTCGGTAATTTGTGTGATATTTAAAAAGATTCTGCTAATATGTAAAATGATGGGGAAATGTTTATAAAAGGCTATTCTTTCTCGGACCTGCAAATACGATGATAGACTCATGCAATGCTTTTACTATAAAGGAGATCTTTCCACCCCTACTGTTGTCCACTGTAGTCTGCGAACCCACAACAGTTTTCTCTTATTATAAATAACGTTCTTACTCTAAGTTTCTCAGATGATTGATTGCTTAACCTAATTGTATTTTTCTCCCAGAGTGATGATTCTGACATTTGGGATGACACTGCACTGATAAAGGCCTACGACAAAGCAGTTGCATCATTTAAGGTGCCTCTATAGTGTTATTATAGCATTCTGTTGACCGTGTTCTTATTTTCCTCATATAGATTGATAATTAGGTTGAGAAACATGCATCAGTATCATATCATTACAGCTACAGTTTGTGTATTATAGTAGGCAAACATGTCTCCTAAAGTAGCATCTCAGAAAAGTATCCGTGAAAATGTTCTGTTATCCCTCTGACGTCATGCTACATTTTGATACTTTTTTACCCATTGATCCTGACTGTCAGACTGCCCTGAAGGGTGAGGAGGACACGCCAATCTCAAAGAAAGACAACCCTGGAAAGAAACGGAAAACCAACAAAAAGAACCGCAGCAGAAAGAGAAGTAATGCTCCTTACGATAAAGAGGTAGGTACTGCCCAATAAAACTCTGTTAAATTAAAGGGTCTAACCTAACAGAACAATTATTGTGTTGCAGTGGCGAGTCGGCGAGCCCTGCTGTGCCTACTGGTCTGAAGACGGCAAGCTTTACGCTGCCACTATCTCCTCCATAGACGAGAAGAGGGGTACCTGTATAGTTGTGTTCACAGACTATGGGAACGAGGAGGAGCAGAACCTCCGAGACCTTCTGACTGAGAGCTCCGAGGTAGAGGAGGAAGCCCCCAACAAGGTACATTTAGGATGTTTGTGAAGATGATCCTAAGTGCATGATTGGTTTTGTAAATACGGAAGAGAATGGACGGTTAGCCTGGTGGAACTAGCCTGATCGCTGCATTCACCATTCTGTTTTACTGCACGTGAAGTGAAATAGAATGGTGAACTCAGCACTCAGGCTAGTGGACACTGGACAGTCAGTTTGCATTCACAGATTGGAGAGAAGTGATTTAGGCATAGAAGTCAGACCTCAATTACATTTGAATGAATTTTGTCAGAGATTTTTTGGAGTGTTCTTATTTCTCTTTCTGTAATGCAGGTTAAAGAAGCAGAGTCTTCTACAAAGGAGGGCGATAGGTCGTCCGCCCCACACCCTCACAGTCACGTGCCATGCTCTAAACCCAAATCCAAATCCCCCAAAGGACCTCCAATGTGGGGTCCAGGTTTCCCTGGCCTTCCCCCAGGTCCCCCTCCCATGCCTGGCTTTAGAATGGTAAGTCGACCCTAATTGTAGGTTGTCAGTCACTATTCATCCATGCATTACTTCTTAACATATGAAAAGCGCCAACACATTTGGGTGAACTTTTGCTTTAACTTTCATTTGGAAGTTGCGTAACAGGCAGAGACGGCATTTGAAACATGAAATCTTGTATGTGAGGATGGAATTAAATCCTTTATTTGACAATGGAGTGTGCATATTGAAGCTGTTGTTCTGTCTACAGGGAGACTCTAGACGACATGGGTCCTCCGGGCCTGCCCCTCCAGGATGGCCTCCCATGATGCCCTCTGGGCCACCGGTAAGATAGATTCTAGAGCACAGAAAGATTTTCTCTGGTATTTGACATGTTGCCCGTAGAAAGCAGACTATTCTCATATCATATGGCGCTTATTGAGCAGTGTCGCTGGTACATTTCTATCTGCAATGTTCTGAAAGATGCACCAGTCTGAACATGGTTGTTTTGCCTCTGTCAGATGATCCCTCCCCCTCCCCCCATGAGTCCAGATGGAGAGGATGATGAGGCCTTGGGAAGTATGCTGATCGCCTGGTACATGAGTGGATACCACACCGGATACTACCTGGTACAGTTACATGCCATCCACATCATGTCTTGCATACTGTAGATGAGATAGGAATAGATTATTACTGATGGTTATGTTGAATAATTCACTATCTAATACGCATACCGGCAGCTACATGGATACACGTTCTGTTCTTATTTTGTATTTCTCGTTTGTTTTTGTTCTACCTTGTTATTTTTAGTATTACATTGTTATTCATTACTGCATTGTTATTCATTACTGCAAGAAAGGCATTTCACTGTACTTGTGCATGTGACATTGAAACTTGCCGAATCTGGGGTGTGGTTACATGGATCACGTGATGATTGATCGGACATACATTTTTTGTTAAATACCAGGTGTAAACGGGTTTTTCAATGCAAAAGGAAGTCTGTGTCTAAGTTGCTTCTTTTCTTTTCACTTATAGGGGTTAAAACAAGGCCGCAAAGAAGCTTCTGGAAAGAAGGCTCACCACAAGTGAAGAAGGGGACTTCCGTCCTTACCTGGTAAAGAAATAATAGTTTGCCATTTTTAGTCATGTACTAAACTGATTTACTTTAGTGTTTTTTTATTGTGTTGTAGCCATTACCTGCTAGGAAAGGATTCCATTGAATTCTTCCTTGACTGACTTGCATGAGCCTCTGATGATTCGATTGCCACTTTGTGGAAAGAATATAATTATGTTGCCATTTCAGACAAACCATCAACTAATATCTTCAAAACGTTTGTGTTCATCCCTGCACAAAAACAAAAAAAACTATTACCTTTGTGTTCTGCTGCCCATCCTAGGTGTTTGTCTCCATCCCAGATCCAGAGGACTGGAGTGCTGTGAATGAATTGTAACATGTGTGAATGAACTCTTGTTTCAAAGCCTCCAAGTGTTTCAGGGTTAGGTTTTGTATTCTTTGTAAATAAACCAAATAAAGGCTCTTAGCTCACAATTTGCTGTTATATATATGTTACCTTTTATTTTGTTTAATACATGTGAATATTCAATTAGTTGAGGTCACACATGGAAAGTTTTGACGTTTCATACTTTATATTGAGGGCATTGATATACAGGACTTGCGAGATCGTACAATCAGAGGAAGACGCAAAGCGAGATGAATTAACCCCAAAAATCTGTCCACGTGAGATAAGCCCTTTTTATATGGAGGTTAATGAGAGTGTCGAATTACATGAGGCTTATTTGATTGAATAGAAGTTTTGTAATGTTAGGCTGTTACAAATGTACTGATATATGAGGATGCATGTGGCATTCTGTTAACTTTGAGAAAAACTACTTAGTTGTGCCTGTTTTTCCACATGCGCATCTGCCCTCTCATTGGCTAGAATGGTCCCAACTGATCTCGCCTCCTCCCGCCTGCTTCCATCTTCTGAGGACATGTATTTCCATTGTTAGAGCAGGCACTCGACCATCTTGTCAATATAATAGATCAGCTTTGGGACAATCACCTTGATGTAGTAACAGTTCTTCCCCAGTAGATGGCAGGGTAGTCCTGTACACACTGAAGAAGTAATGTTTTAGTCATTGTTTCAAAGTTTCTGCTTACATTAAAGCATGACGTCAATTGATCAACTAAAGGTAACATTATGAGTTATGTTTTGCAACATATGTTCAATGTTGGCCATAAAAACCTCATATACAAATACCAACCATAATCTGTAATAATACACTCATATCCAAACTTTGTTTCACAGCTGTCCTCTGTTCCCTGATGAGAGAAGCGTCCAAAGCTGGGGTGTATTCACTAGGAAGCAAACGGGATGAAACTGGGAGGGACCTACCTGAATCTGCCCAATAAAAAATCAGTTTTCATTGGAAACATTTTCTGTTGCAAAACTGTTTGCTACGGTTTACTACAGTGTGCACTAATGAATACACCCCTGGTCTAACGCCAACGCCAAAATAGGATTGCCAATTCAGCGATTTTGTCGCTATATTTAGCGAGTTTTCAGACCCCTCTAGCGACACATTTTCAAATTAGCGACTAGCGACAAATCTGGTGTAATTGGAGACTTTTGCAGACTCTGACATGAAAGCACGTATCGTTCTTACACTTCTCAACGAGCAGCGGGGTCCCACTCACAGGCGGCCCAGTCCTCGCGCTGCAGTCAGAGCAGGAGATGTTCACCCCTCCGCGTCCAGACTGCAAATTAATTTACATTTTAGTCATTTAGCAGACGCTCTTATCCAGAGCAACTTACAGTTAAGTGAATGCATACATTTTCCATACTGAATGAATGAGTCGCGCATGCGGTAAGCCGCCCTGGCTTACATTCAGGGGCGGGATGTAAATGTAGGGTGTTTTTAACTCACTTTTTGTCTCTCCCACAACGTTATTCCTCTCCTACAGCATCCATCACAATTACATGGCCAATTATGCAGATTAGGTGATGACGTCATTTAGCGACTTTTAGGACAGCCAATAGCTACTTTCCTTACTGAGGCGTTGGCAACACTGTTACCAACACCTTGGGCTGGAGGGAGGCCAAACATAGTTAATATAATATAATATGCCATTTAGCAGACGCTTTTATCCAAAGCGACTTACAGTCATGCGTGCATACATTTTTGTTGTGTATGGGTGGTCCCGGGGATCGAACCCACTACCTTAGCGTTACAAGCGCCGTGCTCTACCAGCTGAGCTATAGAGGACCTCTGCCCTGGCACTCTATCGCTCCCAGGAGGGGAAGAGGTTTATGAAAACATTACTTCGAACTACTTGTGGGTACCTTAACATTACAACAACATGAAATCCATGTCTTAAAACGTGTAATCTGCTTGACACAATGTTACGTACCTTAAAGATCACAAAGTCAGCTAATTTCCACTCCATTCATATATAAATCGGTTTGATTCATACACTGGCTTATCTGGATGTCATGTTTTTATTTTAGCCGGCCCTTCCCTTATCTACACTGAAATAATATAATTTCAGTAGTCCTCTATTATGATTCATTTTTTTCTATCTCGCATAGCTCATTAGTACACCCTGGTGGTTGAATATATGTATCTATTGTAGGACCTAGGATACAACAATGAATAATGTGGAACTAATAAATACCATCAAAGGCTACCTTACAACTTACAATAATGAACACCTTATGAAACAGCTGTGAAAACCAACATGGCAATATTTAAGATTTTAATATATCAACTTTGATATTTTTTGGTACAGTTGTGTCATTCGTTTATTTTCACAGATTTTTTGTACACTCACTTGGCAATCAGACTAAAATACTGCATTCTGGTGTGTGGGTGGGAGGTTCTGCCTGTCACTTGTTCTCAACAGGCAGCCAGTCTTGGAAGGGAGACTGCTGCTCTCTTTGTTCTGAGTGTTTGCAGTGCTAGTGATTTTAGTTAACCTGTGTATCTCACATATTATGTGCCCAGTATGATAGAGCAAGAAAAATACCTATCACTAAAAGCTTCAGTCATACAAAAGTTATACTTAAATCCAAACTGGTTCTCTAGCAAATTAGTAAGATTTTCTCACCCCATGTTCAAGAATGGCCTTTTTCCCTTTATTCAGATTACAACCTCTCACTTTCAGTTATTTTAAAAGGAAATCATCTCCCAAATATCACTATTTCTAAAACAAGCCATAGAAAGTTGGTTGCAATTTCAATTTAATCCTCCAGAAACGACAGAACAAATAATGCAACACATATTGTGGTTTAACTCAAATATGCTAATTGATAATAAAAAAAAACATTATTTTTTGAAAAAATGTTTAATAAAGGTATAATCTTTGTAGATTATATCATAGGTAGGACTGGTGGTGTTATGTCACACATGCAGCTAACAAAAACATATGGAAATGTCTGCTCTACCCAAAATTACAACCAAATAATTGCAGTATTACCGCAAAAATGGAAGAGGAAAGTGGAAGGGGAAAAAAGTAAGGAACTTGTCTGTTGGCAAGAACATAATTTAAAGAAAATTGTGATAAATAAAAAAGTATACCAGTTTCATTTAAGGACCAAAAGATTGACAGCCGTCCTATACAGATTGCAAAATAGTTGGGAAGAGATTTTTGACATACCGATTCCATGGCATAGTGTTTATGAATTGATACGCAAAACGACGCCGGATTCAAAACGTATAATTTTTCAATTAAAATTATTATACAAAATTCTTGCTACCAATAGAATGTTATTTATATGGGGAATACAATCTTCCCAGCTCTGCAGATTTTGCTGCGAAGAGACAGAATCATTAGATAATTTGTTTTGGTACTGTCCATTTGTAGCTTGTTTTTGGTCACAGGTCCAGGAATGGCTAAAGGATTGCAATATTTACCTGGAGCTAACTCTGCAGATAGCACTACTGGGTGATCTGAAAGTGATAGTCAATCGATCAATAATATAATAATACTTTTAACAAAAATGTTTATTTTCAATTTACAGTCTGTAGAAACAATGAGAATAGAAGGGTTCAGAACTTTTGTGAAACATCACAGTACAGTTGAAAAATATATGGCAAATAGAAATCCAATACGGATGGTGTTAAGAGATAGATGGAGGTGTTGAATGGAGCTGAAGGATGGGACTAATAACAACTAACAACAACTAATAACAACAAGATAACTAATGTAAAGCAAACTGTGTCCATAATAAGTATATAGGTTATAGGTTGAGAGCTTTTGTGAAAGAGCACAGTTATATGGCATATAGAAGCAAACCGGATGGACATCATGAAAATGATCAGAGAGGTTGAGGGTAAAGGAAGTTCAGGAGTAAAAACAAACAAAATATAATTATTTTAAAATTGACTGTGTCCATAAAATGTATATAGTATGTATAAGCTGGAAGTAGAGGCCTAAGCGTTGTTGTTCACTAGTTTTACTCCAATTAGGGAAGGGGTCATGGGGTTGGAAAGTAATAAAGGGAAATGTATATTTTTTAAAGGATATGTGTATATACAGTGAGGGAAAAAAGTATTTGATCCCCTGCTGATTTTGTACATTTGCCCACTGACAAAGAAATGATCAGTGTATAATTTAAATGGTAGGTTTATTTGAACAGTGAGAGACAGAATAACAACAACAAAATCCAGAAAAACGCATGTCAAAAATGTTATAAATTGATTTGCATTTTAATGAGGGAAATAAGTATTTGACCCCCTCTCAATCAGAAAGATGTCTGGCTCCCAGGTGTCTTTTATACAGGTAATGAGCTGAGATTAGGAGAACACTCTTAAAGGGAGTGTTCCTAATCTCAGCTTGTTACCTGTATAAAAGACACCTGTCCACAGAAGCAATCAATCAATCAGATTCCAAACTCTCCACCATGGCTAAGACCAAAGAGCTCTCCAAGGATGTCAGGGACAAGATTGTAGACCTACACAAGGCTGGAATGGGCTACAAGACCATCGCCAAGCAGCTTGATGAGAAGGTGACAACAGTTGGTGCGATTATTCGCAAATGGAAGAAACACAAAAGAACTGTCAATCTCCCTCAGCCTGGGGCTCCATGCAAGATTTCACCTCGTGGAGTTGCAATGATCATGAGAACGGTGAGGAATCAGCCCAGAACTACACGGGAGGATCTTGGCAATGATCTCAAGGCAGCTGGGACCATAGTCACCAAGAAAACAATTGGTAACACACTACGCCGTGAAGGACTAAAATCCTGCAGCGCCCACAAGGTCCCCCTGCTCAAGAAAGCACATATACAGGGCAATCTGAAGTATGCCAATGAACATCTGAATGATTCAGAGGAGAATTGGGTGAAAGTGTTGTGGTCAGATGAGACCAAAATCGAGCTCTTTGGCATCAACTCAACTCGCCGTGTTTGGAGGAGGAGGAATGCTGCCTATGACCCCAAGAACACCATCCCCACCGTCAAACATGGAGGTGGAAACATTATGCTTTGGGGGTGTTTTTCTGCTAAGGGGACAGGACAACTTCACCGCATCAAAGGGACGATGGACGGGGCCATGTACC